GCACCACTAGTTTAATTTTAGGTAGATGCTTCGCAATTTAATTAGGTAACATTAGGTGGTTTTTCAACTATAGACTTTGGGAAATACTCATATCACCTGGACACTTTGGAATGGTTTGGCTATTGTGGAATTGGCTTCACACCGCTCCTTCTATTCAAAATCCCCAAAATGGTTTTAGGCTGGGCTCGGGGTGCATGGTTTTGATAGTAGCACCTCGGCCATATAAGGACCGGTCTTCGGGACTCTGTTGCAAAGCACTACCGTACTTCCACATGTCTAGTGGGTAAGGCTTAGTTTGTGGCTCAGTCTGGTTATAAACAAAAGTACACGGATGGAGATGGATGAAGTCGGGGGTCGATGGATATTCTCCAGGGCAAATGAAGGCTACACGGGCTGCGGTTCGGTAGTCGAGATGTCATGGCACAGGGCCGGTGTCCTACTGCTAGGGGCTCAGTCCTGCCTGCCTGTCCCGGGGGTTCCGGCCGTAGGCGGGATTGGGTCGGTACTCTTGTCTATGGCTAGGATGGGTTGGAAACTATGTCACGTCTTCCGTCTGTATACCGTGGTGGTATGTGGCACGTGGTTGCACGTGAGGAAGATGTGTCTTGTGGGTAAAGATGTACACCTCTGATCAGAGTATAATCTATTCGAATAGCCGCGCCCGTGGTTATGGGCAAGCCGAGCAATGTACCCAAGTTAGTGTTTCAATTCTTAAAACCTGCTTAACAACTAAAATGTGGAATGGTTGGCCTGGGTTGGCTTGGGACGAGCTGGGGCCCAGGGTCGGGTCGCCAGTTCGGTCTGAATCATCGTAGGCCTTGGGATAAGGCAGGTTCGTGTGGGTTCACGTCCTTGATAAATAATATGGCATAGTTCTAGAATCGTGCTTACAAAATAGCTTTGAGCAACTAAATGTCTTTAAATGCTGTTACTGCAACCCTAACCCTTTATAGTATAACTCCTTTGTACTCCCTTGCATTTATTCTGCACTTGTGGGTGTGTCTTGTTGAGTACGGTGGTTGTACTCAGTCTTGCTCAATTTTTCCCAACCCCAGAAGAGGAGTTCCTTGAAGATGAAGGCTTCGGTGTCTAGCTCGTGCCTGCCGTCAAGCGCCTGTGGTCGTCGCCCGAGTCTTCCGCTGTTTCTCGTTTGTCTTTGTGTGTGCTGGGCCTTCGTCGCCCATGTAATAAGTTAACTATTTACGCTTCCGCTTGTTAAACTCTGAATTGTATCAACTTTTGGGTGTACCTTGCCTCCTGGGACAAGGATTAATGCACGCACGTAAGGAACGCCCGTTGGGTTAATTCCGGTCGTGACAAAGGTGCGCTGTAGTGGATTGTGTTGTGCGAGGGGTATTGTCACAGCTCCTTTCCGAGGTACCGTGGTGGTATTGAGGCACATGGTGACATGATGTGGGGCTGTGTCTTGTGGGTACAGTGGTACACCTCTGATCAGAGTAAAACTATTCGAATAGCCGTGCCCGCGGTTATGGGTGGGTCTAACAATGTCTTTCGTGATTAGTCTCACCCTTCTCACCATAATAGAAGATGCTATAACTGGTAATAATTTGATTAGCTCCTGGTTTGGAATGGTATATTCCTGGTTTGGAGATAGAACTGTGCCGCCGGGATGGTTGTTCAGAATGGTTGGGCCTATGCAACAGGGTATGTTGTATAGCGTTGGATTAATATTGTTTAATTATTTAACTGTTTTATTAAATTCTCAAATGTTTGCTAAATGCTGCTTTTGCAAAATGAAACCCTACTATGCCATCCTTTGTTATCCTGTGCACTTGTATATTTGCTGCGTGGCTTGCTGAGTATGTCATATACTCACCTTGCAATCATTCATCAGAGGAAGAGTTCTACAGTGAGGCTGATGGTGTGGAGGATTAGGTGTAGCCCTGGTCAAGCTGCCTGTGGAGTGGAGCTGTCTGCGCCGTTTATCTTATTTTCCGCTGCTTAGATCTTTATTGTTTGAGAGGAACTATCTACCTCTGTAATGACATTTTATTCGCTTATTAATTAGAGTAATAATTGTACTCTATTATCAATTTGTTATTGTGTGCCTCGGCTGATTCCTGGACGAGGGTTCACACACATGTAACCGTTTGGAATTTTGGATAGAAATTCCGGGCGTGACACCTTTTCGCCCCCTGCTTTGCTCGCGGCACCTTGCTGCGGATATGCCTTCGCGAAGGGCGAAGTCATGGCTTGCGCGTAAGGTTGGGCCACAGTGTTCGGCTGCCCGGCTTCGAATGCTGACTCTTGGGGCGCCGCCATGGATGGGTCGAACGGAGGCTGGGTCCAAGCCATGGCAACCTGGTGCGGTGCCTGATTTGCTCCGAAGCCTGGTGTTGGTGCCTGTGGTTGAACGGTTGGTGCTTGAGCAGCGTTGCTGAAGTCGAACTGCGGTCCTTGACTCCAAGGCGAAGCCCCCGGACCTGGCTGGTTCGACGGCAGCCAACTGGGTGCACCTTGACTTGTGTTCCCCTCCGGTCGGGCCGAAGAGGCTACGTTTGAAATGTTGTGGTGTTGACTGAGTTGCTGAAGGAAAGCTTGAAGCTACGCCTACAAGGCCGAAGCCCCTTCCGCCATTACTTGTGACATTTGGCCAGGTGGTGAGGGGTGTACTTGGGCAGCAACCGGCCGAGCCTGCGGCTGCACATGAGGGACTGGGTGTACCGTTGCGGCCGAAGGCTGCCCGGTGAAGTACACTGGCGCTACCAAGACTTGTGGTGGAAGGGGCTGGATTGATGGTTGCGGGTAGACTTAGGGTGGAATGTAGCCTGCCGAATACTGGAGGATTGGGGCCGAAGCGATCTTGGCCTACCGTGCTACCTCATACGCCTGATGCTGCTCTTGCATATGGCGAAGCATGTCTTGGAGTCGAGTCATGTTCTGGCGCATGGCCTCCATGTCGGCTTCAGCTTGTGCTTCGAGGTTGGGGTTGACTTGCGTAGCAGCGAGTGCGGTCGAAGTCGCTACCGGCTGTGACAAAGCGGCTTGGGGCGCCAAGGGCTGGCTTGTCGAAAGGATCTCCGCCCTGGTTTGAAGCGCCCTAGCTGTCGTGGCTGCCTTCGCCGCGTCGACCGTGTTCGGCACCTGCCCCGACGGAGCGGCTGGGGCCGAAGATGGCGGTTGCAGCACGGGTGCCAAAGCCGATGGTACTCCCCCATCTTCGGCGATGGGCGCCGAAGGCTCTGCTCCCTCCTCGGCGGCCATCGCCTCTCCTACTTCACTCTCCTTGCGCTTTGCAACCTTCTCCTTCACGACCCTCTTCGGTGGCATTCGCTCTCAGTGGTTTCGCTCAGAGGTCCCCACGGTCGGCGCCAGCTGTTGTCGAAACGACAACCGCATACGTCGAAAGACGTGGTTACTCAACAGTGGTTGGAAAACGGTAAAGTGTATTAAATTGAGAATTTTTTTGGGGATCCCCCTTTACATGGCCCTAGGGGTCTATTTATAACCCTATTACAGGTCCCCTATTAGGGTTTAGGTTTTACAGGGGAATTTACATGGTTGTCCTTATGAAAGGGACATTTACATGGGTATATAGTGTCATTTGCATACATGGGCCTCTAATGGGCCTGGTGGGCGAATGCCGGCCCGAAGGTCGGCCAGAGCGGTCGGGATGGCGAAGTCACCCTCCTTCGGCAGGCACCCTTCGTCCAGGGTGTATAGTCTTCGCCATGGGGCTCCATCTTTTGCCGTCCTCGCTCCACTTTCTTCGCCATGTGGCTTCGTCGCCTTCGCCATGGGGCTTCGCCCAGATGAACTTAACACCTTGAGCCTGAATCCTGACTGGTCGCACGGTTTCAGCAGGCCTGGTCGAAGGGTCCCATGACATACTGCCAACAGAAACCACAGATTACAAAGGGAATAGTAGAACTCAATGATACCGACGAGACCGTAGTCGAGTTGGTTCGACTAGATCTCCTGGCGACTTAGCTCCTATAGGCTCCGGCTCCGTAGGCTGTGGTGGGTGTATTTCTTTTAGTGGTTGTCTATTAAATGATTTTTTTTTCTTCAAATGTGTCAAATACTTCTTCTACATTTTATAAATTGATACAAAATGTTGATTTTATTGATAAAACACTGGAAAGAGCATTAATTAATTTTTGTTTATGCAAGTAGCGAAATAAGAACCATCTAAAAGTATTTAGATAAACATGGTAATATTGACTACACAACTGAGCTGCTCACGTTTGAAATACACATAATATTTTAAAATGAACGTGGGCCTTCAATTATGAATTGAATAAAATATCTTTTTAGCAACATGCATGGATTCCATGTCCACATTTATTGGATATCACCGCTGTCGACGGTGGATACCCGTAGACCGGATATAGAGGGTATTGGGGTCCGTTGGTACGAGGATCTACGTAGTACAACATCAAGGAAACAAAAGACAAGGATTATACTGGTTCGGGGCCCTTGACAGGTAATAGCCCTACTCTAGTTAATATGGGACTATACGATGGAAACTACAGATTACAAAGGGAATAGCAGAACTCGATGATACTGACGAGACCGTAGTCGAGTTGGTTCGACTAGATCTCCTGGCGACTTAGCTCCTGTAGGATCCGGCTCCGTAGGCTGTGGTGGGTGTATTGGCGGTGAAATTCGATGCCTTAGGTCCTGCCCAGGGGGTCCCTTATATACCGCGGGTCCATTGATCTCCAAGTAGGACTCGGAGATATCGGACCCCTCACGATATGGTAAAGACCCAGTCTTGTCCGAATAGAATTCCTTCCATCCGTAGATATCATCCCTATCATGTGATAGATTTCCGTAACGTATACGGGAACTATCCGTATACGAGCGGGTATACCGTATCAATATACAATTCACATCCAAGGGTAGAGGGTATACCTCATCCGTAACCCTGACAACTGCATAATGGTAGGATGCATGAGCATATTGCTAATATAAATAATCCATGAAGCAATCAATTTATCAATCGATCGGAGCTTAAGTGAAACAAATGTAGTAAAGGACCAAAAATAAATATATAGATATGAGAAATACCATTGCGCATTTTATGTGGAAAGCATTAATTGATCATTTTAAGGTAGCATAAGCACGATAAAACATTGGGTTTGTTCATGCAAAACAAGTTCATCATTTGGGACCTTTGCTGCACGGCCAAATCCAGATAATAGGGGCCCAGCCATCTACTATAATCCAAATTAGACAATGTGTGGCTGAACTCCCTGTTCACCTTCAACCCCTCTAGCAGGCAGGGAGCCACATCCTCCTCAAACTGCCTGATCGCTGTGGCATCGCAGCGACGATGGCTACCGCCGGTGGCCACGGCGCATCGCCGCCTAAGCTTCTCTATGAAGGGCATGGCCACGGTGTAGGAGACTTCGTCACCATCGTCAAATCCATGGGACGCCTTAGGTCTAGTATTGATCTCGTTTTTCTCCCAGAGCGTCACGTTGAACCGTGGATTTTCAATAGGGCGACGGTGAGAGGTGCGGCTACCGTCTGGTGAATTAAATAAGAAGAACATATATATGAACAAACATTAAATACCAGTCGAAATTTCATTCTAATAATAAGATTTAGTAGAATAAAGACTATAATTAATTATGGCTGAGATTTAAATTATTTAAGGCGTGTGTACTTACCGAGTGCGCTGGGGATGGCGATAAGGCTGCCGGCGACGACGGAGAGCGGCGCGAAGAAGAGCCAGACGAGCATGAGAACGGCAACGTAGAGGGATAGACAGCGGCGTTGCATCGCCGCTAGCTGCATATATATGTGTACGTGTCGATCTTAATTAGTACGTGAGGAGGTAATTTGCTTGTAATTTATTTACGAACAACTAATAAGGCTTGTAATTTGCTTGGTTGCTAAGATCTGCATGTAAACGCGCGATCCGATCGGATCCAACTTAACAACAAACGGGAAGCAATTAAATTAATTTGTGCACTTATTATAAAAAAGTGTAATTAATTAAGCGACGAGACCGGCGCGGCGAGCCCGGGAACAGCGGCGCAGTGGCGGAAATGGAGGGCACCACGCGACGAGCGTGTGACGGCGATCGATCCTTACCAGCACAAACACGACGACGGACGGCATCCTGCGGCGAGGTCCAAGCTCGATGGGCGGCCGGGGTTTGCCTCGGCGCTCGATCAGCAGAGATGACTCTATTTATAGGCCAAAGATCACGACGAGAGGGAACGTCAGCTACAGGCGGCGGAAACCCTAGGATTATCCCGAGCATCGCGGGCTCGAGCGGCAGACTACGCGGATTAATTCGCTCCGATTCCTGAGGGAAAAGGTAGAGGAAAGATACACTCCCTCAGTCGCTAAATATTGGACGCGGTTGATTTTTTAAAACACGTTTGATTGCTCGTCTTATTCAAAAAATTTAAGTAATAATTAATTTTTTTCCTATCATTTGATTCATCGTTAAATATACTATCGTTAAATATACTTTTATGTATATATATATATACATAAAAGTATATTTAATTGTCATGAGCACGACTCTCAAAACCATGTGCTCACAACCCACCATTATCAAGTTTTAGTTGGCAAGTAATTAATTAACCAATCACGATTAACCATCGTGAACTATCATTAAGCCATCCTTAAATAATAGTGAGTCATAAGTTATCCCAATAGTGTGCTAATGTTTCTAAGCATGGCTAAGCAATCATAACTAATATCTAGCTGAACCAATATATAAAGCCCAACTAGTCAAGTTATAATAACCCAAGGTATCAAGGAATAAAGTAATCAATGCAAATTGGCCATAACAAAGGAATAAGTTCACACCACCCGGTGACATTCGAAAATAAATGCACAGTTGAAATAAATAGAGAATTTAAATATAGGATCAACATGCTCAAAGGATTGTGTTTAGGATCTGTGTGACTTGCCTTGCAATAATCGGTCTTCAATTAATCTTCTGAACACTCCTGACGCACTCACGAACCTTCGCAACGACGGAAACGACAAGCTAACACGCAAAACGAAGAAAAAGACTAATAAAAACCAAATAAATAGTACATATAAAGTAAACAAACATGTAGAAAATGATTTTAGATGAATTTAGCAACTTGAACCACTCAAAACCGAGTTGCGATGATTTAGTTATGAATTTCCGAAGATTTAATCTATTAGAAAAAACTGGAAAAGGAGAAGATGATGACGTCATGATGACATCATCAATGACCGGACCAAGATGGCGACCTCGCCGGAGATAGAGCGACCGGCTGCGGATTTGGAGGACATGAACACGTAGAGGACGACGAGACGAACCCAACGGTACTCACCCTCGAACCAAACGACGAACGACGACGGCCGGCGACGAGATCTGTTGGCGGCGCGGCTTCGGTCGGCGGTGGCGACGGGACTCCGGTGACCGGCGACAGCGGGGAGAGAGCGGCCGAGCTTGCCCACACCTCGGCGCACCTTACGGCGATGACGGCGACCGGCGACGACGATGGAGACGGCGGCGCGGCGGCACCGGAGATGGCCGGCGGCGGCGGTTTGCTTGGCGGCAGTGGCGACGGAGCTACGGAGCACGGAAGAGGACGGGAGAGGGGGCAAACGAAAGAGGAGGACTACGGGGTCCTATTTATAGCCTTGGATTGAAGAGATCGGACTCCTCCCGCAAGAAATCGATCCGGGAAAACAAAAACTCGGTTTTGGAGATAAACTCAAAAACGAGTTCGATTCGGATAAAATACTCAACGGTTTGCTCCGATTCTTGGGGGTAAAGATAGAGGAGGATAAGAGGAATATTTCCCCTCAACTAATTTTAGAAAAACACAAGAGAAAAGGCCGGATTTGGTGGAGGAAGCGGCGGCACTGTGCACGGCACGGCTGGCTCGGGCTCTGCCTGAGCTGGAAGATGAACAGTAGATCAGGGAGGAAAAATAGACTTTTCCGGCTAGGCTGAGAGGAGAGGAGGCGGCTCAGGTTGGGCCGGCGGAAGAGAGAGGAAGGAAAGGAAGGAATGGGCCGAAAATGGCCCAAGCTGAGGAGGAGGATTTTATTACTTTCCCAATTAAAATAATCACTTAAATGATCTTTGAATTGTTAAAAATACTTCCAATGCCCAAATAATTTCAAGAAAAATCATGAAAATACTTGGACACTCAAAGTACTCAACAAAATTATAATTAGACCATTTAATGATTAATTTAATATGTGGGTAATTACTGAAATGCTCTTTGTATTATTAAAATTAGGAATTGAGCTCCGAAAAATCCGAGAATATTCCAGAGAGTATAATTAACCATGGAGAATTTAATAAAAATTAAATCCATCCATGATTTATATTTAGGAAATTTTATTTTCCACATTTAACTTCACTTGTAAATTAATGAACATTTAATATAAATTCTAATAATAGTTTATTAAATAATTTATAAATCCTGAAACAAAAATCAGGGTGTGACATTGCTCAACCCGCCCATAACCGTGGGCACGACTATTCGAATAGTTTTACTCTGGCCAAAGGTGTACCACTGTACCCACAAGACACAGCCCCACAACATGTCACCATGTGCCTCAATACCACCACGGTACCTCGGAAAGGAGCTGTGACAATACCCCTTGCACAACACAATCCACCACAGCGCACCTTTCCTGGATCATAATCACCCCCTTATAAACAAGGCATGGACTCCCCAGCGACCCCCGTGGGCTTATCTCCGCCACTTCTCAGTCTGGTGCTCCGCAATGAATCATGCTATACAAAAGGTAAAGCCGTTGCCCACGCTGGCTTGTGGTTGGCACGGTTAATGTTTCACAACAGTAGCTCGCGAACCGGTCCTTAATTGTCATGAGCACGACTCTCAAAACCATGTGCTCACAACCCACCATTATCAAGTTTTAGTTGGCAAGTAATTAATTTACCAATCACGATTGACCATCGTGAACTATCATTAAGCCATCATTAAATAATAGTGAGTCACAAGTTATCCCAATAGTGTGCTAATGTTTCTAAGCATGGCTAAGCAATCATATCTAATATCTAGCTGAACCAATATATATAGCTCAACTAGTCAGGTTATAATAACCCAAGGTATCAAGGAATAAAGTAATCAATGCAAACAGGACATAACAAAGGAACAGATTCACACCACCCAGTGACATTCGAAAATAAATGCACAGTTGAAATAAATAGAGAATTTAAATATAGGATCAACATGCTCAAAGGATTGTGTTTAGGATCTGTGTCACTTGCCTTGCAATAATCGGTCTTCAAATAATCTTCTTGAACATTTCTGACGCACTTGCGAACCTTCGCAACGACGGAAACGACAAGCTAACACGCCAAAATAAGAGAAAGACTAATAAAAACCAAATAAACAATACATAAAAAGTAAACAAACATGTAGATCATAATTTTAGATGAATTATGAGCCTTGAACGGCCTCATTCTGACTTCATATGAATTTATTATGAATTTTACAAGATTAAATCTAATTAAAGCCCATTTAAAAAGAATTAAATAAATTTAATTCAATTTATGGATAATTTTAATATGTAGATCTTTATTTTATACAACTTTTGCAACTTGAACCACATTAAACTGAGTTACAATGAATTAGTTATGAATTTTCAAAGATTAAATCGGATTAAAACACTTATATGGATTTTAATTGAATTATGACGCAATAATGAATTATTTTTGAAAAGGAAAAGGAGGATTATTGCGTCAGCGGCTAGGGTTTGCGGTGGACCGGGTGCAAGGCAGCGGTTCACGGGAACGAACGGCCGAGATCCATCCACCCAAAACGGACGGCCGAGATCCATCGGTCCACGACCGGGCCACGACAGACAGTCCCGATGACGTCAGCGGTGACGTCACCTCCGGCGGCGGCTCGGGAGCGCAAGCTCACCGGCGATCGACGGCGCGGCGACGCGAACGGAGGGCACCAGCACGTAGAGCGCGACACGGCGAACTCACCGGTGACCAAAGAAGCGGCGGAGGAGCAACAGACGGCGCCGGCGACGAGGAAGAAGCGGCGACGGTCTTCGGGTCGACGGTGACGGCGGTGCTCCGGCAGTCTTTAGCGACGACGAAGGGGTGGACGGGGACGGCGACGACTTGGCGATCCCGATGGTGGCCTTCCCCAGTGACGACGACAACCGTAGCGACGGCGGCGCACGGCTGGACGAACGGCGGCGACGGCGGCGCAAAAGCTCACGGGGCTAGGGCGCTACACACGGCGGCGGGCGAAGGAGAGAGTGGCTGCCGGTAGAGGAGAGCTCGGGGATCCTTTTATAGGGGCAAAGAGGCTCGGGGAAAGGTTAGGGTTCGGAGGAAAGAGACCGATCCGAATCGACCTCGAATCCACGAATTTCCAAAGCGATTTAGACGATGATTCCAAAAGAGAAAAGGTGGAGGAGATCCCGGAGATCATTTCCCCTCTATTGATTTCACCGGAGAAGGAAAGACGCGGCCGAATTTGGAAGGAGACGACGGCGGCGCGGCGCTAGGGTTTCGGGCGGCGGCGGCCGGAGGAAGACGACGACCCCGACAGGCGGGACCCACCTGTCAGCGAGAGAGAAAAAGGAGAGCGGTGGCTCGGCGGACTGGGCCGACTAGGCCGGGGAGGGAGAGAGAAAGAGAGAGGTTTTGGGCCGGCTTTCGGCCCAAAGCCAAAAGAGACTTTTAAAAACCTTTTTCAATTTAAATTATTCATGAAATGCAATTCCATTTATTAAAAATACTTTCTCGGCTCAAATAAATCCCAGAAAAATCTAGGAACTATAGAATCAAGTAAAGTATTTAACAAAATTTTATCTAGCCCAATTTTATATTGAGATTTAACAAATTAAAATTAGATCTTCTGTTTTAAGCTTTTAAGATCATTTCTAATTATTCCTTTTAAACAACAATTTATAATTTAAGGATTTTTAAACAAGAAAAGCTCTTAACAATTATAATTAGATCATTATTGATCAAATAATTACTGAACTGTTCTTTGTATCATTTAGGAATTGAGCTCTGAAAAATCCGAGAAAATTTCAGAGAGTTGACTTAATCATGGAGAATTTAAAAATTAAATCCATCCATGCTTTATATTTAGGAAATTTTATTTCCCATATTTAACTTCACTTGTAAATTATAGAACATTTAATATAAATTCTATTATTAATTTATTAAATAATTTATAAATCCTGAAACGAAAATCAGGATGTGACAAATCTACGCCCCTTACAAAGAATCTCGTCCCGAGATTCGGAACGGCTAGAAAGAAAAAGGGAATAGGTAAACTGCAGTCTATCTTATTCCATAACTCCGATAATTATTCTAAGGCTTTAAAGAAAACTACTGCCGCTTTGAAACTGGTGGCTGAGTTGTAACACTTGAAGACGCAACTCTTGAAGACGCAACTGGCACTGCATTGGCTCCTGTGACGACAATGTTGTTGACTTGCGGCTG